GTCATGTCATTAGCACCTCTAGTAATAAATATATTTACTGAGAAAAATGTTGACGTGTTCAATACTTATTTTACCCGCTGTTTATGCTTTATATTTGTTTCCTTGTAACGTTCTACATTCTATTAAAACTGAATTTTAAGAAGTTATACCTTGAAAAAACAACTGAAGCGATGTGATATAAAATGTATCACCATGGTAAAGAGGCAGAGCGTGGTCACGCAAATGTATGTCTGATAGACCGTCTCATTTCACAGCTGTTTATGCAGCCAAAATGAGCAGCCTACGGCCCACGTCGACTGCAGCCAACGTCATCACGGTCTACGTTGGCTGCAACCCATGAATTGAGACACAGTAAAAATTCTAATAAATTACTCATATCTTGTATATACCTTGCTGAAGAGTGTTTGTTTGGCACATTTTCCATAAAAAAATTGAAATCTCGCAACTGCTAAAATTACTCCATGTTTGCTTACATTTTGTAAGGAAGTTGTGCTTCGTGTATTCTTCAAACGTTTTCATATCGTTTCCTTCAGTGGTTCTTGGTGCAGCGGCACCACAGGCCTGGGGGTGAATGGGTTGCTCAAAGGGTTTGATTTGTTTGGCACAGTGCAGAGTGAATGGGTACTGCACCAACTAAAAATCTGTATAAACAAATGTTGCACTTTTGGTCCCCAGTCAAACCAAGTCTACTGGACTAATAGGTGTGAAAACACCCTTACTGGAGATTCTAAATTGACTTTAGTACATGCATGTTTGTCTATGTGGCCCTGCAATGGTTTGCCAAACTGCAGGTTTGCTTTGAGGAAGCAACCCTGACCATCAGTTAGATGGAAAATCTGAGAAAACTAAATGTCAAAGTAAATTACTTTGTTTCCTTTCAGGTAAAGTACAACTGGAGAAGCCGCTGAATGTYGTCATTGGGTCGGTGACGCCCACCTCAGTTATCCTATCCTGGGGAACTCTGCTGAAAATCCCCTATGAAGGGAATGTTATGAATGACTGTTTAGAAGATGGGTGAGCTGTCAGATTCATCACTTGTACTGAATAAAACACAAACACACACCTTAGTTACATCTGGCACAAAATATCCACAAGGATGAAGTGAGTAGAGTTATTTTTAAGCACACAACTGAAAAAATCAAAATTCAAACACTTAAATAAACTCCTGTAATAATATATTTGTAATGTGCAATATTTTTTGTTCTGCTATATTGGGCTCAGACACTACACGGTTCGGTATCGTGAGAAGAACAGGAAGTGGAACTACCAGACCTGCCCAACAAGTGACACGGTCATCGACAATCTGAAGCCAAACACGGTCTATGAGTTTGGAGTCCAGTCTAATTCCAAAGATGGCACCGGAATGTGGAGCAAGCCAGTGGTTCATAATATCAGCACACCGGTCCTCCAGAGTACGTTTGATTCATCAGTGCTGCTCATAAAGTCTTCAATCACCAGTGTTTTCTTTATACCTAAAATCTTCTTTCAAAGTATTTATAAGCGATCGTCCATGTTAATTGAGGACTGCTTTAAGATTTTCTAACTATATTAAAGTAGTGTTTTTTTCTACTTTTTAAAACATTCATTTAGACTCAAAAATTACTAAAAATGAACTAAAATGATGCAGACCCAAAAGAAAAAAAAAACACTTTTGGAAATCATATTTGTATGACATAAAGTTTTAAAACATACAAACCTTGTTCCCTCTAAAAGTCCAAATAAATCAGGCAGCTCAGGACTTTTGCACATGTTTTTGACACACTTGATATGGTGAAGGGTTTGTTGCAGAATCAGGATTTATGCCACACTAATGCTGACGATGTAATTGACCAAGGGTTTGGTTAATTATTGTAACTAAAGGGTCAAAATCATCCTAGCAAACAAATACAAGGGTTGTACTGAACCAACCTGTTTCTGCATATTTTTGAGTGATTTATTACGATTTGTTTAAGAAACTCAGCCCTTTAGAAATAGCTTTGTGGTTTTGTTATCTAGTCCAAAAATCTAAACTGTAAAATGCTTTTTCATCATAGAAAAATTATAATTACTGTTCATGTCTATGTCCCCCCACCCCCCATATATGTGTTGAGATGTTTGCAAAGAAAGATTTTGAGATGATAGCAACAACTGTGTGTTAAAATATGATTTCATGTAGTTGCATTACTTTCAGCCAATTACACTGACTTAAATTCTTTTTTTTTTTTTATCTTTATAGAGAAATTCACCAGGAAGATCTTTAAACGACCCATCAGTCCTGTGGTATGTTATGGACAAAAAAATTACATGTCAATATTTTTAGAACTGTTGTACATTTACTTTGACTGATTCATGGATCAGTTAGAATAATACTGCACAATGAAAGGAACACTGTAACTTAGGAATGCAGAGACTGATGCAACTTAATGGTTGACAAACGGATGGATGGATGGATGGATGGATGGATGGATGGATGGATGGATGGATGGATGGATGGATATTTGAAGCAGATATAGAGCTGTGCAGTTCTTGTTGCTGTTCTCTGAGCCGTTCGTCTCAATAATTTTCCATGGAACTGCTAAATGGAAATGACCTCAGTGTAGACGGGACAAGCCAAGCCAAAGAGAGTCTGTGTGGAGCTCATGTCTGAAGTACAATGAAAGGAAAGAACAGAGCAGATGAGCTGAAAGCAAAAGGAAATAGCATGGCAGCCATAAAATTAGATAAAAGAAGACAGATAATACTAATTGTTTGTCTTATGACCAAACACAAAAACATTGCTTAACGGGAAAATGCTGAACTGTATTTCCTGTCAGAGACTTTGATTTGACAAGTTGTATGGATTTTTCTAAGAGTTTCATAAAAAAGTGGGGGAGTATGTATTTTCCAAGCACATAGTTCAATTCTGTACCACAGTCATATATATGACCTTCAGTTGTTATGAAAAATAAATGTGACTTTGCATCATGGCCTATCTTAACACCTTGAAATTGGCCACTGTCACTTTAAGAACCTTCTACGGTTTCAGACACTCCCACTTCAGCATGTCTTCATAACAATGCTTCAGTGTAGGAGTGCTCTRTGGGGCTGGAGCTCAGCTGCAGACTGGAGGCGCTTTGTATTGGAGAGAATTTAGCGATACGATACATATCATGACAGAGGGGTCGCGATACAATATATCCCGATATATTGCGATACTGTAAGCAAGGCGATATATTGCGATTTTTTTTGTCCAAAAATTCTATTAAATACCTGCCTTCTGTAACGTTGGAAAAAAAAAAAAAAGAGCGCACAAGACACTTAATTTGGCTTAAAATACAGACATTCTGACAAATAAGTAACTGTTTGTAACCTTACCTCAGCTTAGAAGGCAGAGGGTGTCGGTCTTTCCCGCTCAGATTCAGCTATCGGAGCATGAAGCTAATGTTTACTCACAATGCTAATGCTCTCTTACGCTCTGGCGTTCAAGAGGTAGAGGAGCCAAATAGCTGGCTCACTGCTGCCAACTAGCGGTCAGAGGCTGAACTACAACATAAAAATGAACGGCTGGCAGGAAAGTCGACATTTTAAACCTCAATAAAAAATCGATACAGGGCTTTAGAAAATCGATACAGTATCGGGAAATGAAATATCGCGACATTTCAGTCTATCAATTTTTTTTACACCCCCTAGTACAAACAGGACATGATTTGTCAGCAAGCATTTAGGCAGCTCCACATGGCTACAATGGGAGATTCAAGCATTTCTCAAAATGCATTAATCAGTTAATGTTAATGTTGCTGATGAAGGGATGACGTTATAATATGATATAAAGCTCAAAATAGTTTATTTTGCACAATAACCCCTCCTTAAAAAGGGGTAACTAACACCCACTTCTTGTGTTTTTCTTTCAGAAACTCTTTCCTCCTGGTCCTAAATCATTCCCCTTCCCTCCCCAACCTGGTGAGTCAATGTGAAAAAACACATTACTGTCAATCTAAAACACAGAATCAGAACTGATATTGTAACCTGAGTTTTCTTAAGATTGTTTGTGCCTTCAAACCTTTTTTTTTTTAGATTCAGCACTGAAGCAAAAAAAGTGAATTTGTTTTCAGAATTTGCTACTGCTGTTAGAATTAATAAACCAGATTACACACAACTAATCAGGGACACTCACAGTTCTTCATTCACTATTTCTGAGCCTGCAAGAAAGAGTTACAGTTCTCTTAACAACACATTTTCCATTATGTAATCTGGCTCATGCAGAAATCCTCTTATCGCTTCAAAAACGAAAGCCATGTTGTCTTAATCAGCCAGTGATACAGTCTTTACTTTTTGTTTTGGGATCGGACCAGAGGAATGGCAGATTACATTTTGGAGCAAGAAGAACTTTGATGTGTTGTTAAAATAGTGCCAACATAAACAAGTCAGTCATAAAAAGACCTAGCATAATAACTACTAAACATTTAGAGTTTGTGTTGTTTTAGTGGAAGTCTGCTCTTCAGATATGGTTAGCCTAACACCTTCAAAACATTTTTTCCTGGTATTTTCTTTAACTGAGTTTACTATTTCTGTATTCCAAAATGTTTTTTTTATGAAAGATTCATCATCACTTTATAAACATTTAGTAAACATTTCTGAAAGGATTTTTGCACTGTGGCATCCATGTAGATAATTTGACAGTTTTTTTCATGCTTCTGAATGCATCAGTGGTCATTACTAAAGGTTTTCTTTTGTTTTTAGCAGTTCTTCAAAACAAGACCCAGGGCAAACAACCCATCTCTCGGAATCTAATCCCACAAACAACTCTTGGTAAAAACTTTTCTGACCTAAAGTTCAGCGTTAAGTGATGAGAAAAAACCCAAGACATGACCTGCAGGCACTCTTGCTTCAATGTTTATTCTTTACACAAAGCATCACTTTTCTTTCAGGTCTACTAATGCACTTTATATTTCTCAGCTTCTCCTATCACAACTGCTAAACAGGAATTTCCACCCACTGCCGGACCCAAACTGCCTGTGGTCAGCAAGCAGCCAGTTGGTAAACAATAAATCTGATTCTTCTTGAAAATGCTTTATGGTTCAGCCGTGCGTAATCATTGAGTTTGTTTAAATAGCTGCATGAGCAAGCACAGTTTCCATGTGAAATTCATCTGATGGATGTGAGGTAAGTGGTCTGAGATGCATGACTTTGAGAAAACACAAGAATTTTAGGTGATTTTTGATGATGCTCTTAAGCTTCTGTTGTTTTTTATTGATTTATTTGCAACATACGGTTTATTTATGATTTTATCATGCATTATATCATGATTTAAAGTTGAAATACAAGTCAAAAGTTGACTTTTGAGAACCACTGGGTATTTCCTCATCAGACAACATATTTCAGCCACCTCTAACATGTTACAAATCTAACCTCAGTTTTTTCTCATTTATAAAACACATCCTAAACCTTTTTTTACAGAATGTATAACTGATTATTTTCTTCTATCTACAGTACATGACAAGTCTACCTCAAACAGATGTTACCTTTTTCCCAGCAGAGCGACACATTTCTTATTTGTTTTTGTTGATACACTGTCCTTTCATTAACATTTCTTTACAGTTATCTTTTTTTTTAAATAGATGTGCTTTTATATATTTAACATACAGTAAATAATTTCTTTCCAAAGACAGATCTAAAGGAGTTTTTCCAGAGATGGGACTCAACAGTTTTGTTTTCTGCAGTCTGAGCTGCTCTGTTTTTAATAGCATGCCAATCTGATCCTTCAAGCTTGTTTATTTCTACTTCTTTGAACAGACCTGTTGTATCATAAAGACGTGCAGTTGAACTGATTGTTTAATATCAGGAGTTCTGTGCTGTTCAATGACTGACTTTCATACAGTTTTGTTTTGTACATTTCTCATTTTCTGATCTTATTCTTGAAGTTTCAGAGCAGACAGCAATTTTTGCACTGTCATATGGTTGTTAACCCCTTTATAAATAATTAAATATAGTGGCTAGGCTTCATAGCCATGTTTTTTTTTCTTTCACATCTCCCAGGAGGAGCAGAACTCACCCGATCTCCATTGCCTCTTTCTCCAAAAGTCCCTTCAGTTCCAAGGCTCTCTCCTGTCACAGTCACCATGGCATCTGTGCCAGTATACCAAGCCAAACTGGAAAATCATGAAGACCATTCAAAACAAATGTCCCAGTTTCAACCTAATGCACAAACTCGACAAATACAGCCAACAACTTTACAGCCCTCACCAAATCCCCACATAGAGCCAGAACCACTTGCAACATCCCCCCCAGAACTCCAGATGAAATCAGAACCCGAAGAAAAAACTCAGCCGTTACTGCAGACCCACATTTGGTCACCACCTAAACCAGAACCACATCTTCAACCAGTTCATCAAACCACACTGCAGCCTCAGTATGAACCAAAGTCACAACCAATACCAACGACAAACCACCAGAGCTTACCTCCAACACAACTGCTAATGACTCAGAACAAGTTGCAGGCACAATTCCAACCAGCTCCTCAGCCCACATTGATGATAAGTCAGCAAACCATTCAGCCCACACCTCAGAACACACCTCGTATCCAAGAAACACCACCAGAAATTCACACCGACTTTCAACCACAGCCAGAAACTAGTTCTTATTTTAGGCCACAAATTCACACAAAACCTCAACCAATGACACCACAAACACAGTCAACCCAAACACCACAAAGACAAAACACAATTTTTACTAAATCCAAGCCCACAACACAATCTGAACCTAAGAACCTGGCCGAGCTCCACTCATCGACCAAACCAGGAAAGCTCACTCCAAAACCTACAGTTAAGAACCAACAAGGACAGATGGCAATTCAAACACCCCACCAGTCACATTCTCCATCAAAGAGCCCATTCCAAATCACACTTCCCACTAAGGAGCATCCTGCATCTGGGCCACATCCAAAACGTCAGCCAAGTGTTCAGTCAGAGCCTCAAACCAGGACCCAGGCTGACCACTCCAAGGATACCCCAGTGAAGGCAGTTCATAAGGGTAAAGACCCTTCCTTCTGACATCACCACTCCTCCTCAGTCAAGCATAAAAATACATTTTAAAGGGAGCAATTATTTTAGATGTCCAAAAATCTCAACATGTTTAATCATATTCTTGAAAAGTTGGTGCAGGACACAATGTACATCTTTTGCTTCTCCAAGCATTGCATTCTTTGATTGAAATACCAACAATACTGTTAGGTTACTACAAATAAGCCCATACGGTATGCTCCCTTTAAATGTTTACACTATATTCATTTTGTCCCAGATAAATAGTATTTTTTTCTTTCATACAGCCCCTAATCTACAGGAGGAGACCAAACCTTTACCAAGACCTGCCTTGGCCACAGAGAAGGCTGGTAGTTATAATCATGGTAAAACCATGACAAGTATATCATGTCACCATCTGTTTATCTGTCAAGTCACAAGATGTATATAGTTAATCCGTCTCCATCTCCATCCTGGCACCAAACACCCCATTGTTGTCCCTGTCTCCATATGCACTCAAGCAGACCCGTCTCACCCCTGACTACCCGTAACCACAGCACTCTGTCCAGCTTTGGATCTCATTTTGTGCTTTGTCATTTCATTCATTGTCCATGTTGTTTTCTGTGTTTCACTGAATCATTTGTTCAGTCTAGGTTAATTTCCCAAGCTAAGATGTAAATCTTATATAACTACCAATTACCTTTTCTGGTCCATAGGCCCTGGAATCATCAAATCATCTGTTGATGAAGTTCCTCATTCTCCCATTAGCTCATCAGTTCTTAAAGCAGGAAGAAATGCCACAGTCCCTGTCACCCGGGTTCCTTCTCCCTCCACCAATCAGGGTGTGAGAACTTTCTCTCAATCCAAGACCTCCTCTCACAGCTCCATCACACATGAGGGTAATGTTTGTTTCTGTTTCTGAAGCTGCTTCCTCTTTAGCTATGGAAGACAAAGTTATTGCTATTTCTTTAGCCAGACAAATGGTTCTTAATTTCTTTCTTAGTGTTCTGTTTTTTTTTTTTGTTTGTTTGTTTTTTGTTTTTGCTTCACATCTTACAGGACATATGGTGTCTAAACTCAGAACATGCGTTCAACACCTTCACCATAAGCTGCAGAAGCATCCTAATGTCAACATCAGTGTCAGTTTCTACAGCACATTTCCGTCAAATAAAAAGTTTAAAAAATCTTGAAAGAACAAGTTAAGCTAAAATAAAATCTTAGTGCACAGATTTATTACTTACAAGAAGAGTTGGAGTGAGGGTTGAGGTGTCTAAATAAAGAAAAGCCTGTACACTTACTCCTTATGACAGGAATAATTTAGTAATTGGAAACATTTTATTTCCATTTGGATCGTCATCAAAAAACAAGTTTTGACAAAGGAGAGGATAAAAAATTGTTCATAGGGGAAAAACAGCATATTAAATCAAAGCACTATGTTAATCATTATAAATTTGTAAATTACTCACAAGGGCATTGTCACAACTTAGGATTCATGTAGTGTGACTACTTATATTCATAAATATAACAAAATGCATTCAACTGGATCAATAGAATAGTAATAAGTAAATACAGTCTATATAACTGTGAGAAAGCTAGAAAATGCTTCAGTCTGTGAAGGGAATGACATAATCTTTTTTGCCRATCACATGTTCAGGGCCCCTCCTAGGAAAAATGGTCATGTACTCTATTGCCAACTTTGATGTAATTATTGTTGATTAGCAAATTATTTCTGCAGAAAAAAATGTGCACGCTTTTCTCCTTTCATTTTTACTGAAAATTTCTGCCGAGCTGCATCTTTATTTGATGTAACTCCTTCATTTCACCTAAAGGGTGAAGTCAGCTGACAGTTGCTGGTCGGGGAGCAGTAGAGCCACCATAGTCTCTAATTCTGTCTCTGTATCTGTTTTTCCTCTTTGGAGCATGTGCATTTCCTAAAAAGTTGTAGAAAGGAGACCATAAAATACAAAAATATATATTTTTAAATGTATGTTTGAAAGTCTTCTCCAAAACAGAATGATGTTATTGTGAAAGTTCCGGTTTTAAATCCTGGATGAGCTCCCAATTTGCTGTGGCTCGTCTGGAAAACTACAACAAAAAGACGGAGGAGACAGAAGCAAACTTTGATTAGAAGTATTTTATTTGAACAAAACCAAACCAAAAATTAATTGAAACAAAACACAAGGTAGAAAAGGAAGAGGCTGCTGCACAAACCCCATGTGTCGTAACACCAACAACACACACAAAAAATRAATAAATAGAAACAAAGACAATTTAGACATTAAACTTTTCACAAATCATTTTTGACTTTCCTTTCTTCTTGGTATTTTGATCATAACAGACCTTTCTCACCCTCCAGCAGCCAGTGGAGTCCATCACAGCGGTAATTCTCTTCCCAAACCTGTGGTGTGGCCAGGAGAAAAACCTGGTAAAGACAAACCAAGATTTGTCACATTTTCTTACAGATCTGCGCTACTCATGCTCTGCTCATTTTTTTGCCTTAAGCCATTCTATATCCTTATTTGTATATTCACCATAATTTATCTTTGACTGAGATTTAAGCCACATAAAATCATGATTTTTGACACTTAACTGGCTTCTATTCTGTTCTGAGGCAGACTCAGGTAATTAGAGTAATTAAATGGAAAGTAAAACCTTGTTTGGATGACATGTTTGAATGGTTATTGTTTATCCAGCTCCATTGTTTGGAGCTGCAGAGGCGGATTGTGCTTCGGTCCCACGTCACAGTTGGTTTGTGTTATTCCTGGAAACTTTGACGGTTTCAGAGGCCTTCAATGAGTCGCAAGACTCACTGGAAGCAACTCTAACGGCAGTTCTGCATGTTGGCCTGCACTCAGAAGCTCAAAGTGTTTTTTTTATAAAGCCAAGCAAAACTGTTGGCACTCCTGGTCAAAGTTTTTGTCATAATGAARACTAGAAAAGTAAAAGAATCTTTGGAGTTCAGGACAGCACTGCTGTCCGTCTTTTCTGGTTTTAAAGCAAAAGTAAGCAATTAGGGGCTCTTCCTTGGCAGTTTTTCTAGCTTAGCCAGCTTTCAGTTCCCAATTATTTAGGATTTTATGTATTTATCCTCCTCTGGAAGCTATTTCTCTAATCTTCATTTTTTTAAAAGTTGAGGGTTGGTTCACATTTTTTCCCAGCACCTACCTGATTTGGTTCATCCATCTGTCTGTCACTTGTAACTGCAGTACGAGCTCAAAATACATTGTTGGACTTTCTCCACACCTCAGAGCTGCTTTCAGGAAATAAAATTCTGCACCTTAGTGAGACATTTTGGGTTTTGTGAACCAAATAATCTCAGAATTTCATTGTAAATAATTGTTCAGGTTAGAAGCCTGAATAACAATCAGAAAACAAATTAAGTTCGCGATTGGATGTTTATTTTCAGATCTAAAGACATCATTTCRCTCTGAGCCTGCCTGTGGCTCAAGAGAGACATAAACAACACGGACACTCATCACATGTTCTCATAATGTTTGATAAAACCTGGTCAYACCCTGGATATGATGTCTTACCCCTAGAACCAGGCCGTACCCTAAATCAGCTCTTAWTCCTGAAATGTAAAACATTTTGTGTTTACACAGCTGGAACAAGRAACATGTTAAATAGACTTGTTGATAATCTTACTTTTTGAAGTAAATCATCAATCACAAAGTAGAAATATAAGACTGTACTTAAAATTCAGTTAAWCAACCACAAATTATCCAACAATATGCTGTAGTTGATCTGACGTAACTATTATCATGACTATAACATATAACATAGATGATGCAAAACCTTGTTCTGCATAAAATAAACAAGAAAGAAACTTAAAAAACAACTCAGGGTGCATAACAATTAATTTCTTCAACCCAAAGTCTAAAATTTGTAAGACCTTTCTTTTCCTGCGAAAACAGTGCCGAGTTTATTCAGGTCTGTCTTCTTGAGCTTGGTGCATCTGTCCCTTTGGATATTTTTTCCTCTCCATCCTTTATGATCAAATTGTCTCAACTAAAGTTTTAAAAGTTAGTTTGTTTCATTCATCTGTCCACAACTTCTTATATATATATATA